TCCCAACTGTCTAAAGGAATTCTTCCGGAAAACATTTGCCTTGTATCTTTCTCTTCCAAGGGTGTGCAAGGGTGACGAAGCTCCCACTGTTCCTGTCCGCCCTCCCCCACTCTCCATCCCGCCTGTGCAGACTGAACATGACCTTATTTTCAATCCTGTGTTGTTTGCTGTTTCTAAGAACCTCAAGCCAACTTCTTCCATAAAACCTTTCCTAGTGACCATCAGTGGTTATTTATTTGTGATGATTTCACACATACCTGTTATGCAGACTACCTGGCTTAGACCAAGGGCTCAGATATTCTAATAATGTTTGTTTGTTTGTTTTGCAATTTCAATTTTATAGGAGAGAGGTTACCAAGGTAACACAGACTTCATAGGTACACAGCATAGCAGACATTCATCAACACTCCAGATGATGGAAGTTTCTCTAAAGCTAGGTCTGCAGACGCACACACACAATTTCTCGAGAACGGAGAAATAGAAACGGGAGTCTGAGCAGCACAGATAGCCCTGTTTCAGCTTCACGGACTTGCACACAATTTCCTTTTGGTTGAACCTGGTTGAGGCGGGTATGGAAATATATCTAAAAGGCCAGCATCATTGCAGGTATTTTGATCATATCCTGCCATGGCCCTGGAATGTTTAAGATCCTCTGTATGGTTCCTAAGAGTTCAGAGAAGGAAGAGCATCAAAGCTGTCTGTCTCAATTGGGGGCAGTTTTGCCCATCAGGAGACAGTTAGCCAAGTAAATCTAGAGACATTTCTGGCTATCACATACGAGGGGTCATTACAGGCCTCTGGTAGGCAAGGCTAAAAGTGGCACTAAACCTACAAAGCGAGGGGGTGGGATCTGGCTCAAAATGGCAGCTCGCAGATAGGGTGGCGCTCTCCCAGGGCAAAGCACCAGCAGTCGCTGGGGACATGGCGGCTACCCACAGCCCGTCCTACCCGCCATGTCCAATCCCTGCAGGGGATTGCATGAACTGCATGACTGTCCTGTCCCTACAGTATCACCCATGTTTCTGCTTTCAATATGCCCAGGCTATGATATCTATGAATTCATATCCATATTTACATGTTCCAAGATGACACTGATTTCTGTGAGATAGGAATTTCAGAAGCCAAGTCAACATACAGCTTTGGATGTAAGAAAACAGATGCTATACTACTGTTAAACAAAAACGATAAAAATAAACACTTAAAGGTTAATTTAATGGGAACAGTGAGTGCACTGGTGTGAATATTAATACGGCTAAAACGATCATTATCTGTGAGTGGATTTCTAGAATCACTACAAACGTAAGGAGTCAAAAACAACTTTGAACACTCTGTACTAAGAGCAGCAGGCAGTAATTCCGCTGTATTTAACCCCTAGCTGAGCTGACAGTCAAGTCCTAACAAAATACCCTAGGAAGAACACAAATATACCGGGATTAAAAGCGCCAGAGCTTGGCGTGTGAAAAGTGGATCACTTAAACAAGGGGATCTTTAAATTTGTACCTCAATTTGAGAAGAGAAGAAAGTCCCAAAGAGACTTTGTCATTCAAAAATCACATGATGGCATAGAAATCAAATAATTCCTCTTTCGTGCCTGGGTCTCTGGAGGTTGAGTGAACTGATGCCTCTCATGCTCTCTCCTTTCAACTAAGCAGATGCCCCTAAGGCACACCTTCTCAGCAGCTGACTCAAGACCAGGAGTTGTCCTTCTAGCTGGACATGGGCCCACCCAGAAACTTAAAATCAGAGATAAAGAGTGACCTCGTGCACCATGGGTCTAGGATGGGATCCAACGATGCCTACTTTAAACACTTTCCAAAGGACTTTAGTGGGGACCCAGCCCTAAAATCTACAGATTGCGATTAAAGGCTCAGATCAAATGCAGCTAGCGTCTCCCAGGCAGGCAGGACGGATGAGCAACACAGCACAGGCTCACAGACCTGGAGAACAAGGGTCTTACTCAGATCCCTCCAACCAGCAGAAGGAATAAACCCAGTAAGGGCTTTGTTTTGTTTGAGATGGGGTCTCACCGCGTAGCCTTGGGTGGCCCAGAATCAACTATGTAGGCCAGGCTGGCCTGGAACTCACTGTCTCTGGAGTTCTGGAACTAAGGCATGCACTACCACACCTACTGACATTTTTTAAAGGAATTCTAGAAAGTCGTGTGTGAAGTAACATCCTAATTTTTATCCAGCAGTTAACTCCGAATATTTTTTAAAAGAAAAGTGTAACTCACATAAAATGTACTCACAAGCTCACTCAGACCCTAGCTAGCAGTTTGCAATCACAACATGGACAAGGACAACTTACAGCCCACTTTCCTCAGCTCTGCCCTTTCCCATTGGCCCCTCTTCCTTCCAGACCTCGGCCTCCGCCTACCCTTTTCCTTTTCCTCTCCTGCCTCCTTCGTCGCTGCAGTAGATGGAAACCGAGGGCCTCACGTTACATCTTCATGTGATCCTAGCTGCCTCACGGGAAGGGCCTCCAGGCCTGGGAAAATACAGGCCACACGTTGTAACCCGAGGCCACAGCCCCATGACGCCAGCCAAGTGGACAGTTTAGTAAGATGGAAGGGAAAAGTCAGTCAAGCTCAAAGCTTCAGGTTGCTAAGCTTCCGTCAGGCCACACAGGCGTCCTCAGCTAATCTCTGACGCTCCGCGTGCTCTGCCTTAAGTCTAAACCACAACAGAATCACCTGCCACTGTTTTGTCTGCTTGGAGCTCTGTGTCCTTCCCATTCTCCTGTCTGATCTAGCTAAATCTTTTCTTGGGAGATGGAATCTGTAAACTGGCAGACACAAGTCGAGCCTGCTGTGGAGCTGGGCTGAGGAGCACTAAAAAGATCTTCTCCAAGCCTGCCACTGGCAGTGAGCTTAGCCTGTGGCATACTGGCTAGCCCAGACTTGTTCAAAGACTCTCCCGACTGGCTCTCGTCCCATCTTCCCAGCTCTGGATGAAGACGGTGAAGCCGCTACCCGTTGACTGAGCTGCCCACAGGTCACCGCAACCTAGCTGGATGGGCGTCTCTCACTTGGCCATCCCCCGCTGCCCAATGCTACCCACGTGTCTCAGTAACCGAACTCTTGGCTGGAAACCCATTATAACCAGAAAAACCAACAGCCAAGCCATCAAATCGTACAAACGAGAATGTGAGTAACCTCACATCCACCATCTTAATTAAATTTCTAGGCTAACTCAATAACCATCATCATTTAATAAGTGGGGTGGGGGAGGGGAGATCCTGAAGCTCAGAGAAATTCAACAGTTTGCCGGTGTGCGGATCTGATCTGCAGGCTAAGCCTTACCATCTATGTCCTGCCACGTGGAGTCAGAATGGCACCGAGAGTGAAATATCTTATGACAATGCCACACAAGGTGGCACTAAGTCAGTCTGCACTTCTAAGGGGCAGAAGACCAGCACCCGAGCGAGGCTGTCGAAAATACACAAGACTTCGGTACACAGCCTTGTCTGGGAGCCACATAACCACTAAGGCAGGGTGGGGGGACAGTTTGCAGTGTGCCCTGGGAGAAAGAGATTGTCACTTGGGGGAGAGATGGAAAGAGGTGGGGAGTCAGACTGAGGGTTCTGGGTACCTGGCAAAGGAATTCAGACTGTGGGTAAGCGGAAACTCACTGGAAAGCGAGGCCTTACAATAAAATATAAACTGTTTAAAAAACAATAAAACGTAAGACTCGAGGATGTGCGCAGACTGAGCCAGGGCGGCAGCGTTTAACTCGGGAGGGAACAACTGGGCAGCTGTTACCCTGGCTCCTAAGCTTGCTTGCATCTCCCTCCCACACCCATAGACAGTTCAGGGCACTTCCCACCTCACAATTCCCACATGGAAACAATCTACTTGATGGGTTTGCACATTTGGCGATGCAGACAAGAGGACAAGGAGGGGCTGCTCAGAGTGGGGACTGTGGTAAAAGGAAGCAGAGCTGAGCAGAAGGACCGCAATGTTGCAAACTTCAGGGAAGAGGTCAGCTTGATGGGATACGGGAAAGAAGAGAGGATCAACAGTATGGCGAAAGGCTGGGTAAACTGCCAAGGTCACAATCCAGCAAGAACTGAACACCTCCTGTACCCCCGGCACTAGAGGAGGAAAGCGGGAGCACAATGGCAGGCGACAGGCCTCTTAGGTCTGCTGTCCCCCTCCTTCACGGATTCATGAAGCAAGGTAAAAAAAACTAACGTACTGGAGGAGCGAAAGTTTAAAGATTCAAAGTATCCTTAAGTCTACTTTCTGTATCTGCCCAATTACGGGGGGGGGGGGGGGGGGAGGGGGGAAGTGCTGTTTCTTCTGACAGTCTTCCCCCAATTATTGCGATAACCGAGTCTTCTCATTAAGAAAGACAGGCACATGCCACCCCACACACAGCCCCTCCTAACGGGTCGCCCTGTCTCAGGCAGCCTCCGCTCTCATGTGACTCTGTCTCATTTCTTCACGGCCTGAGCACCTGGCATTTCTGTATGCGTTCATCCGTAGTGTGTTTCCCGGTGAGAATGGACATGGAGCCAGGACCTGGTTTGATGAGTCGCTGCCTGCTACACAACCACTCCCTAATTATTCAACACCTAGTTTAAAAGAAAAATTTTAAAGGTCCTGTTAAGATTAAAACCTCAATCAAACTAGGCCGCTTTTCCGTTGCTTTCGGCCACACACTGAGAACTAAGTAACTGAACGGCAAAGTCAATTAAGGGAGAGGTTAGGAGGCCATACCAGATCGGCGGCGGGACTTGCCAGCTTCCCACCGGCCGAGTTATTTGACAATGAGGCCAGCCAGCTCGGGTTTTATTTCCGCTGTCCTTCTGACGTCAGAAAAAGCACGAGTTGCAGTACTGTTTCTTCTATCAAGGTGACAAACTACAGCCCCGCTGGCTCTGCGTTCGGCAAACCACACATTTATCCTCCCCCTCCCTATTATATTCTTTTTAAGCATGAAAGGGAAAAAACCAACCAAACAAACCACGCCGAGCTGTCAAATCTGGCAAATGCGTACCGTTCCCCAGCGGTGGGTCCTTTCCTCTCCCGCGTACCACACCTTCTCTCCCGTCTGAGATCAGGGCGCGATCCCCAAGCCGGCGTGCTCTCCACTGATGGAACAGGCCAGCGAAAGCCCGGGTCCTCGCCGCAGAGCGAGACACAAAGGGCTGGAGGAAGCGCCACCTTCCCCGGCCGGAGGCAGCTCGTGAAAGGCGGTCCACGGCGTGACGCGCTTACCGCGAAATTCCTTTTGCCGCCATAGGCACTCGTGTCTGGCGCGAGCACCGTCGGGCCGGGCACCCGGCGGCGGGAGATGCCCCGGGAACCGAGCGCCGCTCGCGGCGGCCCCTTCCTCCCCGCGTGCAGCCGGCCAGTTCTGCAAAAGCCCTTTGCCGCAACGTTTCGAGCCAGGTGCGGGGGAGGGGAGGCCGGGGCGCAGGGCTCCGTGCGCAAGCGGTGGCCTTTTGTTCTCCCGCCCCACCGGACCCCGCTCTCGAAAAGGAAGTAGCCTATCACGGGCTCCCCGCTCCGGAGAGAGCCTCCGGGGCGGGAGAGGCGGGTGACTCACTGCCAGCATCCTCCCGCTAATCCGAGCGGAGACAGGGGCCGAACCCGCGGAGGCGCGGGCGGGCAACGTGCACCTGTTTACGGCGCCGGGCAGCCGGGCGCCCAGGCTCCGCCGCCCCGCCGGTCCCCAACGTGCACACCGACTCGCTCCTCGGTGTACCCTCCCCTCCCTCCCATCGCACGCTCGGTCCCCAAACCTCGAAAAAATGGAACCGCGCTCCGCCGCCATGAAAACAGGTCCCGAAAGTAAGGCGCGGTCCCGCCACGGTGAGACCCGGTGGGGCGCCCCGCGTCCGGGGAAGGGCCACGAGGCCAGCCCGGAGTTACCGCCTCCCCTCCCGCTCCGAACTCCCCTTCCCTCCAGGCCGCCGCTCCCTCCGCCCCGCTCACCTCGAGAAATAGCCAAGGGGAAAGGCGCCGCCGAAGTGTCCGCCCTCCCGGCCCGTCCGCGGCGGCGCGACGTCCTTTGTGTCAAGGTCTGGCTGGGGAGAGGTGGCCCCTCGTCAGCGGGGCTGGGCGGGGAGGATCCGCGTGGCGGGTTTCGGAGGAAGGTGAGGGCCGGGTTGCCGGCGACCTTCAGGCGGAGTGGCGTGGCCGCGGCTCTCCTCCTCCTCCTCCTCCGCCTCCTCCCGGGGCTGGTTGCATCAGAGTCCCCCCGCCCCCGCGCACTCTGCCCGCCAGCCTCGCACTTGCATCCGCGCGGCCGGTCGGCGCGGAGGGGCTGCGGCGGGGCGCGGCGCCCTCCCGCTCGCCGCGGCGGTCCGGGGTTCGGGAGCGCGGGGCCTCCTCACAGCGCCGGTCCCTCCGCGGCCGGCGGCGCCTCCGCCGAGCCCA